CTACCCTCTGAAAAGCACCCTTTACTATACTTAAATAACAGCAGGACATTTAAGATAAAATGACTGATTCGATTTCAAAGTTCCATACTCTATGCGCATGGTGGCTAAATTTTAGAAATCAAGTTAGATGTTTGAAAGTTTCCATGGAAGTGGATGACAATTAAAGGAGATAAACTGGATAAATGTGTCCAATATTGTTGCAGATAAGTCAACAATTCTGCAAGCATTTCATACTGCGTGACACCCAATGCTGAGGTTTTCATGCATCTTAGGGTTATCTGACTGGTTGACAACCAGTTCAGGGTGTACCCCGCCTACTGCCTCAAGACAGCTGGGATAGTTTGCAGCCCGCCCGCGACCCCCGTGAGGATAAGCGGATTAGAAAATGGATGGATGGATGATTGATGCGGTGTCTCTGTGTGAAAGCAGATGCAGCTGCATCCCTAACCCGGTTTGCTGAATTCTGTACGTATTAACAATTAAAAAATGTTTTTGCGCATTTCTCCATTGTGAGAAAAATAAAGGTTTTCTTAGTCTTTCTTATTAAGGGCCCATGTGGATGAATGATTCCGATATGGCTCTCCTCCTGCAATTTTGCAAGATCTCTTGTGTAAAAGAGGTGTCTGATTATGATATTCAGTGCTGTTGTCTACTGGCGGCTGCAATTATGCTCGTCATCAAAGGAACATTCTTTTTTAGCAAAAGTTATTTGCTGTGCTTTTGCAATGCGCAACAATCATTTTGATGCAACAAGCTTGTATTTGAAATATGCAATTTGGACCTTGGAATAAGGTTTGATACAAATGATCCCCATTGACCATCAAAAGTATCTCCTCCATTTTTTTTCCAAACACAGAAAAATATACTTTTGAATAACTCACTAATTGTGAAGACGACCCATGCTTTTCATTAGATAGCATGAAATTAAGACACAGTGGTGTCTTGAGCTACAAATTTAATTTATTCCATGACCAGTCGTACACTCGTAACCCAAAACACTGCAATCTCAAACCTTTATTTTAATTTGTATGAATGGAAATTATATTAATCTGTACCGCCCTGTGCCCCCCATCCCCCCATATTTTTTTTAAATAAGGAAAATCACTCTGTAGTATTTTGCTTTATTAAAAAAAAATGTGTAGCTCTGTGATAATGTGCTTTATTTTAAAAAAATGTGTAATAACGCAACTAAATGGGGTCTAAACAACAGTTTCTTCAGCAGGATTTACCATAATGCTACAATTTAATTTATTGAGCTGCTCCGTCTCGTGGGACCACTTTGGCCACCAGGAGACAGTATTATAGAATTATGCAGACAGGTGGCTTTTTCCAGGTACTCTGCCTTCTTGCTACATTCCAAAAACATGCATGTTAAGTTCATTGATGCCCTCAGGAGTAAATGACTTAATTGTGTGCGTCGACATGTAACCTGTAATTGAATGGTGACCAATTCAGTGTCCTTGAACTTCAAATATCACAATCAGTTTGTAAAAGCTCCTGCTCACTCACCTTTGGACCAATTGAGAATGGCTTCATAAAACGGAGGGATTGACAATTACAGTGCATTTCCACCAAGAAAAAAATCTGCGCTTCCAAACATTTGGACTACAATATAGTGAACCGTTGAACATTTCGATATTTTTTTATGATAGTGCACATGAACTATGGTCGTGTGGACATCTTCCTACTGAGAGAATAAAGATCCACCTATGAAATGCAGGGTAAAAAAAAAAATTAAAAATCATACTTTTATTGTCTTGTATAACTGTAGCAGCTCATTTATAAGAACTTAAGTGTTTGAAACAAGCAGGTCACAGGGCTAGTCCCGCTGCAAACAAATTAAAGAAACTACTGTACTGTAGTTGTTGGTGATGTGATGTTCAAGTGCCTTTAAAAAATGCAGTGACCTGACTCCCACTAACTGAGTGGACTTTTTGCTCAATATGACTACCTGCATGTGTGTATGATCTGCTTCTCTATGTGGTGTGCAACCTAAGACCATAGCGTGCGTGGAATTTCCCAGTAAGGGATCATAGTAAGTATGAGTTGCATGAGAAAACGTCCAGGAGTCCAGACTGGTGTCACAAAAGATGCATTACAAATCCAAAATACAAGTTTTCCCTTACAAAGTGACCTGCTTGGAACCGAATGCACTTTCTCATCCTTCTCTACCACACCTTCACGGTCTCATGGGAAGATTCTTGCAGGCTCATCTGCAGCTACATCATCAGGGCCATCATGATGTCATCCATTTCTTCAAACCAGGATCCTTTAATGACCCCTTTGAGCCTGGGGAAGAGGGAGGGAAATCACACGAACCAGGTCGCAGTGAGCCGGGAGGTTACGCCAGCATTGCGATGCTCATCTCTGCCAGGAATATACTATGATAGTTTGGGCACTTTGGTCAAGCCCATTGTACGGTGAAGCTCAATTTCTCCTGGCACATCTCTCACGCAATCAAAGGAAACGACACAGCAACTCTTTGATGTGCTGGTTTATTGTCTGCCCCTCACTCACATTTTGAAGTTTGGGGTTTGCAATCCATCTTTTATTGACATCTCATACAATAATTGTTTTAATATAAAGGCTAGACATACATGAACATTTACATCTCTGTGGTAACATTCATCAGCCCATGCAATATTTGAACCGCTTATCCTCATGAGGGTTACGGGCGTGCCGGAGCCTATCCCAACTGGCTTCAGTTGGGATAGGCTCCAGAACACCCTAAACTGGTTGCCACCCAACCGCAGGGCACACATTGACTACCAACCAACAACACTCACAATTACGCCTAAGACCAATTGAGATTGCTCAATTTACCTACCATGTGTGTATTTTGGAATGTGGAAAAATGAAATGAGGAAACGACTACCCGGGGAGAACATGCAAATGTCACATAGGAAAGCTAGATTCAAACACACAAACTCCCCACTGTGCGGTGGATGTGTAAACAAGTCAACCACCGTGACACCCTGTAACATTTATCCGTCCATTATCTGATCCGCTTATCCTCACAAGGGTCGCGGACATGCTGGAGTCTATCCCAGCTGTCTTTGGGCAGTCGGCAGGGTACAACATGAACTGGTTGCCAGCCAATGGCAGGGCACACATAGACAACAATTCGTGCTCACAATCACACTTCGGGACAATTTAGTGTTCCATTAACTTGCCATGCGTTTTTGGAACGTGGGAGGAAACCAAAGTACCCGGAGAAAACATGTAAACTTCACACAGGAAGGCAATATAATGCACTACTGCAACATGACTAACGTGTTTAATTTGTTTGCACACAAAAATACCTCGTGATATGCGCAAGTGTTGATCGTGGAACACGGTAAATTCCACAAACACCCAAAGGATAAATGATACATTTCCCGTTTATTTTATCTGAACTTCGTACCTTTATTTAGTGTTAAATCTGAATTTTGTATTCAGTCACTACTGACTCTGTCAATGCATCTTTTTTGACGCCCCTGACCCAACGATGACATGAGCATTTTTTAGCTTTCACTGCACGTCGCAGTGTTGAAATACAAACGATGATTTTGTTTTCACATTTGAAGGATGCTATTCTGATGCAGTCTCTTTTGCTTTGATCAAAACCAAGCTTGTTTTTTGAGAATGATGCATCACTTGTGAACGAATTTCCGCATCGGGATATTTAAATACATGACAATAGACTAAGTAAGAGCGAACTACGAAACTACTACTTTTTTTATACGAAAACGCTAGCTAACATTAGCTGGCGCGAAGTCGTCTGCTAATGTCAAAGCAGATACAAACTGTCCCAAAAGCTAGCCTGGTGGTTAGCATGCTAGTTGGGCCTAAAGGCCAGAAAAAACGTTGTACGATCGTCGTTAACCCTTCGGGATGAAATGTCAGTGATATCTTGTTTAAAACCCATGAATTCCCTCACCACTGGCAAGCAAGGTATTCACAGTCAAGGATCGGCTTATATTACCGTGTGAATGATGAATTCTCGTGTTGTTTGTCGAGGTTCCGATAACGGCGTCGTTCCTCGCGAGAGATGAGCGAGTGAGGTAGCACGCCTGCTCACTGGTGCCAAGCGGAAACACCGTGGTGCGTTCAAGGACCCCGCATTCGCTTTACCGCCGTCAGCGTAGCAAAACACCTTCAGGTTTCACTTATGTCTACGGAACAGGTAGTCACTTAAACGGTTCAAATGAGTCATTAAAAAAAAATCTGCACATAAACTTGAGTTCAAGCACAAAAGCGTAAAATGCGAGGGGAAAAAAAATCTACGTTATCCTTTATTTCATGAACACTATACATACATAATATGTAAAACGGGCTCATGTATATTCAGCCCAAGTAGCGTATATTATACACTAGCCTGTTGTTTTCCACCCATAATCAGTTTGGATTCGATTTGTTATTAATTTATATATTTTAACACTAGGTAGTCCATAAGTGATCATTTTTTGATTGTGTAGCAAATGATATCAATATATACATACAGTAATACATATATTTGTATTTTTATATTTTATTTAGGAATGTACAGTATCTGTGTTGTGTTCATGTTCATCTCAGTCTTCCTGGTCAGCAGACATTATGCTCCAGTTATTTTAACTTTTTGCACATTTTGTGATCATTTTAGTATGCTTGTGGAGGCTCTCAGTCGTACAGGAAAGTTCCATCGTAGAAAGGGTTCCGTCAGTCGTCATCTGTACCTGTGGGTAAAAAACAAAAAAAAAAAAGGACGTTTCGCTTCTCTCACAGAAGCTTCGTCAGCGGTAGACAACTCTGAAGTCTCCGTGAAGAAGCTTTTTAGCGCAGAGCAATTTCCCGGAGTCTTCACGGAGACTTCAGAGTTGTCTACCGCTGACGAAGCTTCTGTGAGAGAAGCGAAACGTCCTTTTTTTTTTGTTTGTTTTTTACCCACAGGTACAGATGACGACTGACGGAACCCTTTCTACGATCATTTTAGTACATAATTTTCCCCCAAAATACATATTCAAATCAAAAAATAGATATTCACAACACCAGATTTCCAGTTTTATAATGAACAAAGAATGTGGATTACATTGATTTATAATGTAAATCAATCATAAAATGGAGTAGTGGGATTTGTTTCAAAAACATGTAAATAAATGACACAATTAAAAAGACGCATCTAATGTGTTCAACTGTGAATATAACAGATCTTCAAAGTTAACCCAATGGTTACACAAATAATTGCTCTGCTCAAACTTGCTTCAGGTCTGTCGGGTTGCAGCAGGTCTAGGACCTCCTTTTTTGCTGCAGGAAAAAAAAATAAAACAAGTTAAAAAAAATAATAATAATGACCCACATGTTCATTACTTATTCCCCCACCTTGCATCCTGTTTCTTGACAGGAATAACTAGTTTGAACTCAGGTGGGAGCTCATCCTCTGTGTATTGTTTATCGGTGAAATATACCCTCCTAATACGACAATTAGCATGAATCTGAAAGAAAAACAGATAATGATAAAACAGACATGGAGTTTTTTAGATGGCTTGCACAGGTTAAAGTTTACTCCTATCATTTGTTTATGGCAAGCATACATTACAGTGAATTTCTCATTTTGACCCATCCCATTGAACATAGCGCTATTAACAGATTCAGGTGCCTTTCTCAGGGGCACATCAGCTGTGGGGAAAAAAAAGGAACTGTTCATGGGCAGGGAGTCTAAGGTGAGGGAAACTTGAACCCAGGGCACAAATGTTTCACAAGTCACAATCACACTATAGATGCACGCATGCACGGCCACCCCTGGTCACCACTCACTGATGTGTTGTGTCACCTTTCCAACCTCACTGAAAAATTTCTGCTTATGCACCTGCCACACACGACAAACACTTCGGTTGTAGCTTAAAATGGTTATCTACCATTAAAGTAGAGTTGCAGCACAATGTTAATCACATTATTTTCATTTATAACAGACTTTGTTGAGTTCTGAGACTTCCCATACAGCATGCTGTACTGCAGGGCCTGGCAACTTGCGGCCCGGAAGCCAATTACTATATCTGACCTGACACTGTAGTGTTGTACCGGTAAAAAAATAATGAGCTCTTCTACTTAAAATGTAATACATAATAAGGTGTCTGTATTAAATATACAGGTACTCGATTGACCGTGTCACCCATGTGACCACGTGCGGCACTTTAATAAGGAAGTAATGCACAGGGAATATTTCTGGTAGTGCTGTGTTACGTAATTGTCTGATTAAAAAAAAAAAACAAATTTAAATTGCAGGACATACTGATTATGGACACCTCAAACACACCAATGTGGCCCCACGTCCCTCCCGGGGCTACTGTATCCCTGTCCAAGTATGCCTTCGCAATGAATCGGCAGGAGGGATCCCTCATGCTTGCATTGGTGTCCAGGAATTATTGTCGATGGTCTTCGCATGACTTCCACCTTGCCCTCACCTCAGATCAGACGAGACAGCTCACTGAATTTAAGCACATGAGTGCATAAAAACCAACTTAACAAGGTTAGTTGTTTGTTTTATATGTTATTTGGATGTTTCTATGCATGTGTTGCCTTATAGGAATAGTGTTGATGTGCTTCTGACTTGATTTGAAATTTTGGACGAATGCAAAGGAATCACTAGGCAGTATCCATCACATTGCTCGGTGTGCAGCAGACTTCTGATGAATATTACATTTGAATTTATGAAAAATCCAGGGAATTCCACTGGGTTCACATACTTTTTCTTGTAACTGTAATCGCCCACACTTGTTCGCAAAGAATCAGCAACGTCAACAAAGTGTGTGAGAGCGTGATAAGAATAGAGACCCCAGAAGTCATGTAAACAAGCTCACACTCTAAGGAGTAAAACCTGGTGTCAGCATTTGTGATGCGTTATCTTTTTATGTTTTATGATTAACTTCTTTTTATACGTTAGGCAATCAAGAATGTAAAAAAAAAAAAAGAAAAAAAAGGTTGCCGCATGTTTAAATGTGAATCACCTTTGCATTTCAGCCCTCTTTCTTTATTAAACTTTCAGTGTTTTTTACGTTTTAATACAGTATTACCATTGGTGAACTGGTTTATACACTCGTATAACAGCAGCCATCTCGTTACCTCTGCGTCCTGCGTCCTAGACGCATAATTTTCCCGCGGGACGCACAGTTCCAAATAATGTGCGTTTTTGGGACGCAAGGAAATTTCTCAGTCAAAACAAAACAAAAAAACTACGGTACATCTTTTTTCCAGCAACGATCGCAGTTTGATCATCGCCGCCATTGTTGTTTTGATCTCGCGTTCAGTAATCTCGCGTGACGAGATGTTCGTTCTCGCGAGACGAGATCGGCAGACCATTGCCAAGTTGTGTAACGTTAAAACAAGTGCTGCGAACAAGTGTTGCGAAAGTTTACTGTGGAGATATCACAGAGGAAGCAGCTAAAGTTGGATAGTTTTTTGCGATGATAATTGACTTTGAGAAAGCCTTGCATTATTGGAAGCAGAGTAAAGAGATGAGAATTTATTAACTCAAAGACTGAACCATGGGATGAAATAAGAACTTATTTCTCAGGAAATCTTGTATGCCTGAATTATTAAATTTTTTGCAGTATTTGTTTATAAAATAAACCTATTATCAACGTATATTGTTGTTGTATGTGTTCTTATCATATGCAATTGAATAAGTAGACCATTTCAGAATTTGAAATTTGGAACTCTCTAAATGCATAATGGGACTCATACTTTTCTGATCAGCGAGTCCCTGATACTCGCAGGGCTCACACTGTAAAATTGTCACTGTAACAGTTAAAATATTAGCAAGATGGCAACAGTTGGACGCCACTTGGACTGTGTCTTGGATCATTTCGATTTCTATTACTTTCCGTGCGTTCTTGAGCATTTTGTGACCACTTTCCTCTGCTGTCCGTACACACACACATACCTGCACACGCTGCGTCTCTACATAACTGGTTCCATAAGCCCTCCTGGTGATGTCTGCCAAGTTGAACTGAAACTGGTTCCAGCGGTCATCAACACTAATTGGCATAGTGCACATAAATGAATTCACTTGCGTCTTGCTGTGGTGATTACTTGCCCGAAACCGCCGGCGTAAATTCTGATCATCTAACACCTGAAAGTGGAAGGGGAGTAGACCAAGAGTATGGCTCACCATGAATGGCAATAGTTACTGTGTATAATCAACACGTGTTGAGTGCATGTTTCAGTGCCTGGACTTCAAAGCTGAAATATTTCCGGGTTTTCTTGACGATCATCACAAGAAAAGGCATTTTGATGCCAAGAGTCTGCCTGGGGTCAGCGGGACATGTGATGTAGTTGGTACTGCAGAAGCACAGGGAGATGATGACACAAAGATGACAATTTTTTAGCAGTGGTGCAGTGCTTCTAAACATTTTGAATTAAAACATCACATTCACCTGACGTTTGAACCCTCCACCTCCAACACGAGCGAGTTGATGTCATTGTCTGTAACTCGTTTGATATGACCATTTTTCACCTGTGAAACACAAAATGCAGTAGTATGTTTTTGTGCACGAGCGAGGCTTCGCTTATGCTCAACCATCGAGAGGAATGACAATAGTTCCATTTTATTTAGGAAAAGATGTTCATAATTTTTCATTGTCATACAGGTACAGATGTATTGCTTTTGGAAAGTAATGATGATACTCGGACATTTTGTGTACCTGCATTACAAATTACACAAATACAAGGATGAATGATTTCATGATCCTCAACTAAATTATGAAGAGGGTTAATTTTACTGACTGCACATATTTGGTATACAGTATTACAAATGTTTCTAACACAGTCGCAGTCAAGATCATACTTGCCACTTTGAACTCATTGTACAGTATTACTATGGCATAACTATACTGTCCATTTTACGACTTTTTTAGTTTAGATTCACATTTATGTTAAACCCGCTGCTGGTTTGTGTTTGTTGGTTGAATCTTATAAATACAAGTGTATGTGAATATTCCATCAATTTTTGACAATGGCGGTTTTTATTAATATTAAATATTGTCATGTTATATGATAAATTCAACAGTGAGTGCTCCAAAATGGAATAACACGGGGGTCATAAAACGTGCTGCAAGGAGTTTAAAAATGCAACCTGGAGGACAGAGGCACAGCCCAGGGAGACGACCAACCGGTTCACTCGCGAGTGACCTACCTTTATATCCCATATCTGAAGAGGTTTGCTGCCGATGCTATATAATATAGACAGAAATCCACCTTGAAACGTACTTCTAAACATGTTGTGCGTGTTCGGTACAATTTACCGACCCGATTGGGGCCGACATCCAGAAGCACGCTTCTTGTGTTGTGTATGCTGGAAGCTCCGCATGCTTTGCAAAAGCACTCAATCAAAGGCAGTCAAACACACGTTAACAAAACAAGCACACCTCATACCTTTCAGTCACACGCTGCGCGTCTTGATGGCATATTCGTCATTCTATTTCCTCAGTTAATCCATTTATCTTCGTAAATTTTAATAACTGACGACAGGCAACATTTAAAAAAATGTTTTTACTTCCAAAGCTTTACTTTTAAAGGACAACCATATATAATACATCCAGCAGCAACGAGATGACAACCTTGTTGATTTTTCATCCGTTTTCTGAATTAATAAAAGCAAATGTCAAACTGTTAAGATGCAAGGAATTACTGTCCAAGACGGCGAAACGACGTGCCTACATGGCGGCCATGTTGGAGAGGTCAACGTTCCCTCAAATGCAATGCATGGACATTGAAATTATTCAATCGTAACGTGCCTATTTCTGAACAGATTTTAATAAGGTTCACTTTTTTTGCCAACTCCTTAGCGTGAACTATGATTACATAACGTTGAGTGGGAGCTCATTTTTGTCATCCATCTGACGAAAAATTGTGGGACTTTCCAGTATTTCATCTTGACCATCTCTGCACTGGGCAATATCCGGTTTCTCATGTGATTAATAAAACAAAATATCTGTGATTTGCAAATCAACTGAAGATTTTTTTTTTTTTTTTTACTGCGAAGACAAAGAAAAATAAGTGGTAGGCTCCCACTAATTGCTGTACAACTAGATTCTGTCAGCGTCTGGTAGGTACGGGACAGAAGTGGACTCAAAAAACAGACTCAGATAATATGTACACAATAAAATTTTAGTTACAGAATAAAGTGGTGCGAAGCCGACAAAGTACAAATAAAGACACTGGTAAACACACCAGGATAAAACGAGAGAAACAAAAGGCGCTTGGTTTGCAAAAGGCAAGGAAAATATCAATGAAAACAGCTAGTCTCAAAATGACAAGAGAACCAATTCACAACAATTAAAAATCAAGAATAACTCACCAAAACCAAAATAATAAATACTACAAAACAGACAGCAAAAAAACAAGGAACGTTAAGAAAACTGCACATGCACAATGACTTGCGCAACGCCATTAGCGACAATCCATTGGCGGCAGGGGAGTCCAAAAATAGTGGCTTGATTGCAATGCAAGACAGGTGAGCAAGCATTTACACCGCTCAGCTAGAACAGAAAACAAAGATTTTATTTTTCAGTCCATATAGCTTTAAGTGAAACAGATCCGTGGTGCAATAAACATTGGGGACCGCTGGTTTAGACGCTGCTGGTTTAGAAGCCGTCAGGCATTAATTCGCTCAATTTTTATGCTGTCAAATCCATGTGTTCCTACAGCTTTGCTAAAGTTTTAAACTAAGCAATATCCATCCATCCATTTTCTCATCCGCTTTATCCTCACAACGGTCGCGAGGCGTGCTGGAGCCTATCCCGGCCGTCTGCGTGCAGTAATCGGGGGACACCCTGAACCGGTTGCCAGCCAATCGCAGGGCACACAGAGACGAACAACCATCCACGCTCATACTCACACCTAGGGACTGCAACACTGCCTGAAGAGAAAGAAAGCACAGTACAGTAAGTGAAAATACAGTACATTCACCATGACTGGGTGAAAACAGCTCGTGGGTGTTTAGGTTGGACATCTGCATCAAATACCATTTCATAAATTAAGCAGCCTACCTTTCGATATGAATGGTACTGTTAAATATGGTGCTCCAAAATTAAAAATTAAGCACCAATTAATCATGTACAGTATGCTATTTTGTTATGGGTCATCAACCTAAAGTAGACCACAAGCATCTTATATGATGGAAATGGACATACTTTGAAGGATGAAAGTACTTCATGTTGAGTGAGGAAGTTGAGGCCAGGAAGGAATAATGTAGCCAACTGAACAGGGGGCGGGTATATCTCAATACCAGACGAGCTGGTTGTACTCTCCTCTTAGCAAGTTATAACAGCACCACAACTCAAAGTGCAAGCAGAGTGCAGAGGGCAGCTGATTTTGGCACACCTCTTCACAACACCTAGAGCACAGCGTCAACATTCACATAACCAGCTGCACCATGAAGTTCCATGGAGAGGAAACGCTTTGCCTTCTTTTGACTGTCTTATATTTCTGTGTTGCAGCAGAACCTGACGGTGAGTGCCATTCAGGATAGTCATTCAATGATGTGAGATTTCATTGTCTTTGCCTTTCAGTACAAAACTTTGACATCATAAAACATAATCGACTGCAGCTCGTCTTCCTGTGTCGCAAGGCCATTTTCCGACCGAGCAGCAACTAGTTAAGATGATTGTTTTTTTTTTCCTTCACACGCTCATGCAGAAACTCTAATAGAGAGATTATCTGATTTATAGTTAGTTTTTTTTCCTTTAGTATCAATGTGTGATGAAAGGTGTGATCACCACATCATAATATACAGGATTAACATAGACGAAACCACTCTTTCCATGTCAGTGTTTTGAATCACAGTCATGAAGTCATTGCATCACTAAAGGGTGCAAACCAGGGCTCCAGTCACCTGTGTTCCACTAACCTGACTTGCACAACATGCAGTTGTGGGATTTTCCATGACTCTCCACATAAATCATACTGTATATAGATTGAATAAAGTTAAAAACCGACTGGACTTCAGATTCACGTTTTTATATCTCAATATGACACGATGAACAGTATTAAAAAGATGGTACTGGCAAATAATGTGTTTTCATCATTAAAACATCTTGGTTGGTTTCCGTTCTAGTAATCACTAAATTACTACTTTTAGACTAGTATTCGTGTTCACATCTACATTGTGGCTGGGCGTCAGAATATATGGCAACTTGTTTACTTGTAACATGACCTGTAGGCGAAGTTGGTGTTTTGTGTCCCAAATCACTTGATATGCCCGTTACCACCAGTCACCATATCAAATGCGATGATGTAATATATTAATGATTGAAGCCTTGCATTCGCTTCAAGTTTGTGTTGGCTGTTTATGATCAACGTAAATCATTTTTAATTTGGTAATGATTCTACCTTCGCACTATGACCTTGACAGCGCCTCTCGTCCACACGGAGCTTGGTAGCCTGAAAGGGGAGTATGTGAGTGTAAAAGGGAAGGAGTCGGGCGTCTATGCCTACCTGGGTGTCCCATTTGCCAAGTCACCTGTTGGCCCTGGTCTGAGACTGGCTCCACCCCAGAAAGTGGAGGGATGGCAAGGAGTGAGAGATGCCAGCAGGCAGCCACCAATGTAAACACATCTGTGCTCCAGTTGTGTGACACGGCACATGTTATCGCTAAAACAATGTGTTTCTTCAGGTGCATTCAACACCGACAGGTCCTTTTAGATCTGCTGGAGATGATTGATGGCACAGCAGAAGAACTCCCGGACATTTCAGAGGACTGCCTTTACCTCAATATTTATACTCCTGCAAACAGAGCTCATGATGCAAAGCTCCCAGTAAGAAACATTTGCTGCTTCATTGAACTGATACTCTTGACTGCAATTTACTGCAAGTTCTACCTCAATAGTTGTTCAATTTCTTACTTGTACGCAAGATTCAGTTTGAATGATTACATTATAGTCTGTTTGGCAGTCCATAACTTGACCTCGGCCTGTTCAAAATGTGTTTTGATCAAATGTTTGTCTGACCAGGTCATGGCATGGATCCATGGTGGAGGCTTTACTTTGGGATCAGCTTCAGTCTATGATGGATCCGCCCTGGCTGCTTACCAGGATGTGGTTGTGGTGCTCATTCAATATCGCTTGGGAGTTTTGGGCTTCCTCTCGTAAATATCAATCACATTCTGTAAAGTAGAAAATACATGCAATGAATCCATCTGTCTTCTTAACCGCTCATCTTGGTCAGGAATGTAGGGAGGAGTTCATCCCAACTTACTTCAACCAAGAGGCAGGGTACACGCTTGACTGATCGCTCAGGTTGCCAGGTCGCCAAATATCCATTCATACAGTGGTCACATTCACACCTATGTGTTCAAGTTATGCATGGTTGAGGACCCAAGTGCAGGGAAGCAGGGAGGAAAGGCACAAGTGCAGTCCAAAAATAATTGAATTTCAAAAGAACAAAGACCCCGCCTACTGCCCGAAGACGGCTGGGATAGGCTCCAGCACCCGCCGCGACCCTTGTGAGGATAAAGCGGATCGGAAAATGAATGAATGAATGAAAGAACAAAGAGACAAGCAAAGTGCAGGGAGGAATAAAAAAACAAAATAAAAAAGTCCAAAAACAAGATTCAAAGCAACAAACAAGCACCATGAAAAGACCCAACATGAAATGACAAGTAGACGTGACAACTGACAGTGATCAAGGGCATGTCCACACGTAAATGGAGGCGGGATCGTTCACAAAAAAATAAATAAAATTCAGAAGCACAGAATTGTTCAAGAAATGTGTGAAAAAATATAATTAATATTTTTTAAGTAATCCGCCGATTAATCAGTAGTCACTATTTTTTTTCTGCCAAAAATCAGAATCGGCCTCAAAAAATCCATATCGGTCGAGCCATGAAAAGGACACATGCCTGGGATGTAGTTTTCATTCAAAAATAATAATTTCTCCACAAGAGAGTATTTTAGATGGCTCCTCGTCACACTCACTATTTGATTTTCCAATATGCATCATTCACATGGTACTGATGAAGCTAGAAGACACGTGTATTTGCAAGCCACTTCCCACAAACCTTATTTGACGGTACAATATCGACCAACGATCCACTTTGGAACGTTGCTTTACACTGGTGAGTGGCCACCATTACTAACTGACACACACACACACACACACACACACACACACACACACACACACACACACACACACACACACACACACACACACACACACACACACACAAACACAAAAAAACACATTCACGTTCAATAGCTTGGTGGTAATTACACAAGTTCAGTCGTGCATTGTTTCCAGCCAATTGCATACATCATAAATATATTTGTGCGAATAATTTTGACAAATCTCTTGCCATATCTGTCAGCTGAGGTGCCATGGATGCAGGCTCAGTTGAAGTGTG